GGAATTTGTATGCAATAATTAATAATTGATTATTTATAATTATTCATACAGGTGGAGTGGGGGGTGTTAGCTGATGAAGAAACTTATGAAACTTATGACTTATGCTTTTTATACTCCTAGGTTGTGGTCATCGACATTAACTGTACACAGTAATTTCGTGCCAGGTTATAGAGACCAAATATGCCACACTGCCACACTATGATTCTGGTTAATCATAGTGTTGACAGTCTGGAATGTTCACCCTTTAGAGTTTGCATGAAACAGACAGACAACAAAGGAAAATCATCCCACATAGCAATTTTTTTCTGGCCCAGCTCCGGCCCACACAATCACTTTTCCCTCGGCCCAAGTACCACAAAGAATGACGGCGCTGAGGTGGCCCAGAACTGGATTAAAGACAAGGGTCACACATGGGCCATAACTGACCCGAATCTCAGCCAGTTATTTACCCTAACTGGCCCTGAACTGGGCCAAAACAGGTTTTATTATTGGTACCAATTCTCAGCCATAAGTTAACCATATTGAGACCACCCTTTAACCAGAACTGAGCCATAACCCAGCCTAATCTTACCCAAACCACGTGAACCCAATCCTCGGCCCAAGTACCGCAAAGAATGACGGCCCTGATGTGGCCCAGAACTGGATTAAAGACAAGGGTCACACATGGGCCATAACTGGCCCGAATCTCAGCCAGTTAATCACCCTTAACTGGCCGTGAATTAGGCCAAAACATGTTTTATTATTGGTTCCAATTCTAAGTTAACCATTACAAACACCACGCTTTCAAACCCCAAAACTGAGCCATATCCCAGCCTAATCTTACCCAAACCATGCGAACAAATAAGTCACAGAAAATATTACACCTAGAATTGTGTGACAATATGAAGGCTATTTTATTTTGTACATTCCAAGTGTAACATCTTATTACAACCAGTAAAAGCCCTTCTTCTCACAATGCTCCTCTCATTGTAACTCCAATTACCAGCCATACCAACAGTCTGTCAAGTTTTCTTCCCCAACCAAAGTCCTGAAAAAAAAAAAGATTAACATTGAATATGCCTCAACTATTCCAGATTTACCAATATAGGATACTAATGTAGCTCTAAAACTCATTTCTATTAATCATTTTGTTAGATCATGGAAAGTGAGTGCCTTTAGGCCAGAGTTTCCCCATCTTTTTAAGTAACTTTATTTTCATTGTTTATCAATCAATTTATATCTGCATCTAAATATTTTATATTTAATTATTTTAACCATAATAATTTCATTCCCTTTCATTTCATAGGATTATACTAGCCACTTCTCCTGTTTTTTTGTTTGTTTTTTTTTTGTGATGTGATTAATCTTCTTATTGTCTTTAGAAATAAAATAACATCCACTCAAACAAACAGACGGGGAAGGGGGAGTAACAGGGAAAGGGAAGCAACAGGGAAGGGGGAGCAATAGCAGGCTTATAATTGTCCAGTACACAGAGTATGGCCCATAATCGCTATAAACTGATCTGGGCCACACACCTCCCATGCCTAATCGGCCCAAAATGTTGTGTGTCGTCATGCAGTGTGATCATTGCCACACTTGGCCCACAGTTGGCTGACATGATGCATGCCAGTGCCGGTATATATATATATATATATATATATATATATGTATGTATATATATATATATATATGTATATATATATATGTATACACTGCTCAAAAAAATAAAGGGAACACTTAAACAACACAATGTAACTCCAAGTCAATCACACTTCTGTGAAATCAAACTGTCCATTTAGGAAGCAACACTGATTGACAATCAATTTCCCATGCTGTTGTGCAAATAGAATAGACAAGAGGTGGAAATTATAGGCAATTAGCAAGACACCCCCAATAAAGGAGTGGTTCTGCAGGTGGTGACCACAGACCACTTCTCAGTTCCTATGCTTCCTGGCTGATGTTTTGGTCACTTTTGAATGCTGGTGGTGCTTTCACTGTAGTGGTAGCATGAGAAGGAGTCTACAACCCACACAAGTGGCTCAGGTAGCGCAGTTCATTCAGGATGGCACATCAATGCGAGCTGTGGCAAGAAGGTTTGCTGTTTCTGCCAGCGTAGTTTCCAGAGCATGGAGGTGCTACCAGGAGACAGGCCAGTACATCAGGAGACGTGGAGGAGGCCGTAGGAGGGCAACAACCCAGCAGCAGGACCGCTACCTCCGCCTTTGTGAGCAGGAGGAGCATTGGCAGAAGCCTGCAAAATGACCTCAATCAGGCCACAAATGTGCATGTGTCTGCTCAAACGGTCAGAAACCAACTCCATGAGGGTGGTATGAGGGCCCGACGTCCACTGTTGAGGGTTGTGCTTACAGCCCAACACCCTGCAGGACGTTTGGCATTTGCCAGAGAACGATTGGCAAATTTGGCACTGGCGTCCTGTGCTCTTCACAGATGAAAGCAGGTTTACACTGAGCATGTGACAGACGTGACAGAGTCTGGAGATGTCATGGAGAACGTTCTGCTGCCTGCATCCTCCAGCGGTTTGGCGGTGGGTCAGTAGTGGTGTGGGGTGTTATTTCTTTGGGGGGCCGCACAGCCCTCCATGTGCTCGCCAGAGGTAGCCTGACTGCCATTAGGTACCAAGATGAGATCCTCAGACCCCTTGTGAGACCATATGCTGGTGCGGTTGGCCCTGGCTTCCTCCTAATGCAAGACAACGCTAGACCTCACGTGGCTGGAGTGTGTCAGCAGTTCCTGCAAGAGCATTGATGCTATGGACTGGCCTGCCCTTTCCCCAAAACTGTATCCAATTGAGCACATCATGTCTCGCTCCATCCTCGAATGCCACGTTGCACCACAGACTGTCCAGGAGTTGGGGAATGCTTTAGTCCAGGTCTGGGAGGAGATCCCTCATGAGACCATCCACCACCTCATCAGGAGCATGCCCAAGCGTTGTAGGGAGGTCATACAGGCACGTGGAGGCCACACACACTACTGAGCCTCAGTTTGACTTGTTTTAAGGACATTACATCAAAGTTGGATCAGTCTGTAGTGTGGTTTTCCACTTTAATTTTGAGTGTGACTCCAAATCCAGACCTCCATGGGTAGATAAATTTGATTTCCATTGATAATTTTTGTGATTTTGTTGGCAGCACATTCAACTATGTAAAGATAAAAGTATTTAATAAGATTATTTCATTCATTCCGATCTAGGATGTGTTATTTTAGTGTACCCTTTATTTTTTTGAGCAGTGTGTATATATATATATATATATATATATATATATATATTACAGATCGAGAGAGATAGAATATATGAAGAGTTCAGATGCAAAAGCCTCTAAGTGCCATTTGAAATTTTCTTCTAAAATGATCATTTTTATCAAGCTTGTATATTTAAGTTCAGTAATTTCACTTAAATGGCAATAAAGATTACCTCTTAATTGTCATTTAAGTGAAATTACTGAACTTAAATATACAAGCTTGATAAAAATGATCATTTTAGAAGAAAATTTCAAATGGCACTTAGAGGCTTTTGCATCTGAACTCTTCATATAGACCTTATGTAGCCTCGCCCCTTTTCAGCGCTGCGCTCGTTGTCTTTTGACTTCCGCTCTGTATTTTCACAGCGATCTTGCATAGGTATGAATGAACTGCTCGTAAAAAAATTTCCGGTCGACATTTGTTAAGACATCTGCTTTACAATGCTTATGATAAACATTACAATGCTCATGATAACTTTTGTTAACTCTACAATAAGTAAATCCACTTCACCAGCTAATTACTCCTCGACAGCGATGCCATAGAAATATACAGAGCAACCGCAAGAACGCAAGTTCAAAGACAATATTCTAAAGATGACGGCGCCCACGTTTCTCTGGTGCATAAGGTCTATAGGATTAAAAGGGTTCCTTTCTTCATAGCGAGAATCATACTCTCTGGAAATTCCAATGGGGTCGTAAAATGTATCAGTCTTGTAACTGAACACCGAGCTCTGTCAGAGCTGGCTTCACTTGTGGGGGGATTGTGTGTGTATGTGTTAATTTACATTCAGGCTTTTAGGGTCTGAAAGCTTTGGGACTTTAGCAAGAATGCATTTAGTTATTCAGATGATTCACCCTTCACCCATACCTTACAAAAAATATGAATATCTTTGTGAGTCCGCTGTCAACAAAAGGCCTAAACCAGCCATGGTACCAGTAAGTTTTTCTTTTATTTGTTGGTTTCACAACCTGACAGTCAAAGACAGAAATAGCCTGAACTATATTGTGAATATCTGCTCTAAAATCATTGGTGTGAAACAGAGAGACCTCACTGTTTTCTGTAACCAACAAATAGTTCGGAAGGCAGCGAGTATCCTGGCCGCTCCGGGACACGCTGTGGCAGGCGAATTTTCTCTGTTGCCCTCAGGGCGTCGTTATGCGCTTCCCGTATGTAAGACAAACCGCTACTCCAAATCTTTTATTCCTTGTGCGATTAAACTTTTAAACTCTAGGTAGGGTTTTTGAGGTTTTTTGAATGTGCACATAACTGACTGACAGTATGTTGTGAATATTGTGTCTGATTGTTCTATGTATTCATTCATGCTGCTCTAAATGAATTGCCCCTTGTGGGATTAATAAAGTTGACTGAACTGAACTGAACTGAGTACAAAACACAATCAGTAAAATATCATCTAATTATTATCAACAACACTTTGAAAATATCAATATATATTTTTGTCAATATTGCACAGCCCCTAATGTACGGTATTTATTTTGATTTCTTCAGGACTTAAAAATGACTTTGAAAAGTGTGCTGCTACCCTTTTAATATAGTGCAAATAAGAGATTATTTTTGCTGATTGAATGATACTTTAGATGTTGTATGATCATGTTTTGTGACATTTTAGATCTCAATCTAATGATTCCTCAAACATTTTAATTTGTGCTTTAAGTTTGAACTTTCTCTTTAATAATGGATTCACTACTAAACTGATCTGATCTGAACTGAGAGAGTGAAGTGTGTGTCGTTGTTCTCTACAGGTTGAGTTATTGTGGCGTCACAGATGAAGGTTTTGCTGCTCTGACTTCAGCTCTGATATCAAACCCTGAACACCTGAGAGAACTGGATCTGTCCGGGAATAAAATGGGAGAATCAGTGAATCTGCTGTGTGATGTACTACAGAATCCTCACTGTAAACTGGAGAAACTGTGGTAAGATCATATTTGACTCTCACACATGAATCACAATGTAAAGTATATTTGAAGTGTTCAGCCTCTTTCTGCTGCTGTGAGTTCAGATTATTGAGTGGAAATGATTGAACACGTTTGGTGATGTGAGCTGCGTTATAAGAGATTGAAATGGTCGCTACTAAGAAATCTGTTTATTTTGTGTCTTGAAAAACAAAGACATTGTGACGGTTGTCGTAGGAGAAGTCACACTGCAGGACTGAGAGTCAAATCTTCAGACACTGCAGAATCTCGTCGAGGTAAAATATGAACACAACGGTCATTATTCGGCTGTCGGTGAACATATCAAATAGAGCTGCAGATTAATCACAATTAACATGAAATCACACTTAAATCGATTTTGCTTATCACTATTATGATGAATGGAGTGGGGGTGTATCTTTTTGTTTTGTTTGGCTTTGGTTCCGCCCATCTGAACCGTTCTGTAGTATGTTCCCACATAGCAAAATTTTTCTGGCCCAGCTCCGGCCCACACAATCACTTTTCCCTCGGCCCAAATACCGCAAAGAATGACGGTACTGAAGTGGCCCAGAACTGGATTATAGACAAGGGTCACACATGGGCCATAACTGGCCCGAATCTCAGCCAGTTAATCACCCTTAACTGGCCCTGAACTGGGCCAAAACAGGTTTTATTATTTGTACCAATTCTCAGCCATAAGCTTAACCATATCGACACCACTCTTTAACCAGAAACCCCAAAACTGAGCCATAACCCACCCTAATCTTACCCAAACCATATGAACCCAATCCTCGGCCCAAGTACCGCAAAGAATGACGGCGCTGAGGTGGCCCAGAACTGGATTAAAGACAAGGGTCACACATGGGCCATAACTGGCCCGAATCTCAGCCAGTTAATCACCCTTAACTGGCCCTGAATTGGGCCAAAACAGGTTTTATTATTGGTACCAATTCTCAGCCATACGTTAACCATATCGACACCACCCTTTAACCAGAAACCCCAAAACTGAGCCATAACCCAGCCTAATCTTACCCAAACCATGTGAACCCAATCCTCGGCCCAAGTACCGCAAAGAATGACGGCGCTGAAGTGGCCCAGAACTGGATTAAATACAAGGGTCACACATGGGCCATAACTGGCCCGAATCTCAGCCAGTTAATCACCCTTAACTAGCCCTGAACTGGGCCAAAACTGGTTTTATTATTGGTACCAGTTCTAAGCTAACCGTTTCAATACCACCCTTTCAAACCCCCAAACTGAACCATATCCCAGCCTAACCTTACCCAAACCATGTGAACAAATAAGTCACAGAAAAATTCTATATTTTATTCAATTTAAATTTTATTTAACAATAATACCACAAATAAATATTACACCTAGAATTGTGTAACAGTGTGAAGGCTATTTTATTTTGTACATTCCAAGTGTAACATCTTATTACAACCTGTAAAAGCCCTTCTTCTCACATTGCTCCTCTCATTGTAACTCCAATTACCAGCCATACCAACAGTCTGTCAAGTTTTCTGGCCCAACCAGTCCTGTAAAAAAAAAAAAAAAATTAATATTGAAAATGCATCAACTATTCCAGATTTATCAATATAGGATACTAATGTAGCTCTAAAACTCATTTGTATTAATCCTCTTGTTAGATCATGGAAAGTGAGTGCCTTAGGCCAGAGTTTCAACTCCTTATAGTCTTTAGAAATAAAATAACATCCACTCAAACAAACAGACAGGAATGGGGGAGCAACTTACATATCATCAATAATTAAACAATATGAAAGGAGGGGAAAAAGACAACTTTATAGAGTCGTTCATTCCTTATAATGCCCAATATGTTGGAAGAAAAACATTGCCATGCGTCAATGGTTAGCAAATTGAAAAGTTGCCAATTGTTTATTGCATTTAAATTAACCTCTAAACATTACCCAGGTTGAGAACTATTGTTTTAGACAAAAAATAAAAATTATGTGATCAATTTCATTCTTTCAATGTAGATATTTTAATAGTACAGTATTATTATTTTCTCTCAATCGCCTACGAATATAGCATACTGAAATGACTAGCAATACATGACAAGCAAAAATAAATAAGCAGTCTGTGATCACAAATAAAAAAACATGTACTTTTCATGTGAAACAAGCCACGATTAGATTTAGATATCATACAATTATACAACCACTGAATCACTTTCAGCTTTATAAGTCAATTGCGGTTGCTGGATTTGCTGTGATCTTCCTATAATTTTAAAAGCATTAACATTACATTGTTTCGCACACATGAAGCACAGGCCTCGCCTAGGACGTTCCGCACCGGTCTATCGCACATGATCGCACCCCGTTCGCGTCTGTATAGGCATTCTCATGTTCAGGGGCAACTGAATCAGCTACCAGGCAAAAGTTCACTTCAATAAAGAAAAAAGTGGCATCCGAGTTTGAAATCAGGTATTAAAAAAGCGCCAAAAAGAGAGTGAACTTCACTTACCCGTACAGCGGTTGTCTGAGATGTCGTCTTCTTCTTCAATCTTCAGCGGGAGAAATTTCAAAAGACGCATCACGTGAACCAACCAGAAAAGCTGCTGTTACCATGGAAATCGCGCCGAAATAAAACAATAGTTGACTGCTGTTTTAAATAAACTGTTATTTCGAAAAAAAAAAAATCCAGATATTAAATTTTTAACATGATTTTGTGGTGCTTAAAATAAAAAGTATGGAAAACTTAGACTTGGATGTGGATTTTTTTTTTTTTTTTTTTTTTTTTTTTTTATTACAAATTTATAAAAAAAAAAAACAAATTCAAATAAATAATAGGTTTAATACTTAAAAAAATCATAGGTCTAATACTTATCATGTTAGTAAATGTATATTTTTTAATGATACAGCATTTTGTAAACATTGCTGAAAACTAAATACTATATTTATTCATTATTAATCATTTTTTAAACAATTGGACATATATTTTTTCACTGACTCATTTAAGTCAATTTATATTATTATTATTTATTATTAAAATCTTAACACCTTTTTCAGAGGGGTCGGGGTGGGGTATAATCTTGCCTTGAAAATATAGTAGCAGGCTTATAATTGTCCAGTACACAGAATATGGCCCACAATCGCTACACTGATCTGGGCCACATACCTCCCATCCACAATCGGCCCAAAAGTTGTCTGCCGTCATGCACTGCCATCATTGCCACACTTGGCCCACAGTTGGCTGACAAGATGTGGGCCACACACCTCCCATCCACAATCGGCCCAGAAGTTGTCTGCCGTCATGCACGCAGTGCCATCATTGCCACACTTGGCCCACAGTTGGCTGACATGATGCATGCCATTGCCGGCAACACGCCAGCAGTGCCATGATGAGGCCACATTTGGGCCAAGTCTGTTTGCTATGTGGGTTCTTATTGATAATTGATCTCACCTGGAGTGGAGGACATTTAAGAGAGCAGAGGGGAGGTTCGCGAGAGGACGTGATTGGCTTCTCACACTCGGAGGGAAACGGGGAAGCTTTGTGTTGCTCGAGACCATTAGGGTTTGTCTGGCAACGAAGATAGCTAGATAGAGAGACTTCATCGGTGTAGTTAGGCAATAAAGTAAGATAAGGTTTACTACACTATTATGAAATCACAAAAGTGTAGACTGAAACGAAAAATCATTAATTCTCATTATTAACATAACAACATTAACTACACACATTCCTGTGCCCGCATGGTTAAGTGACCTAACCTCTTTGTATCTAAATTACCTACCCAGCGCCAACAGTCTGCCGAGCAAATGGGTTTTCTGACAGTTTTTACAGGCTTTGCAACCCTTGCCAGAGATTTGCGTGATATCGCAATCTCTCTGGGGAAACATCGAAAAGGCATTATCTGAGAAGAGAAAGAGATGTCTAAACACGTGTAAAAACACCTAATACACATACGCACACAAACTTTGAGGGTTTTCTTTTATATGACGGCCTTACTAAAATATATTTGTAAAGTTTGAGATACACGTATGTTGGCTATGTCCTGCAAATGGGTTATAAAATGTTCTACTAAGCATAAAGAAATTCTAAATGCCCGTAATTATGCATCAAGACGTAATTCTGTAATCCTGTACCTGTTTTGTGTTGTTTGATGTCGTTATGATCCTCCAGATCTGAACCAGCTATTAAGCTATACAGTGGGGCCAAAAAGTATTTAGTCATCCACTGATTGTGCAAGTTCTCCTACTTAGAATAATGAGAGAGGTCTGTAATTTTCATCATGTACACTTCAACTATGAGAGACAAAATGAAAAAAAAAATCCAGGTAATCACATTGTAGGATTTTTAAAGAATTTATTTGTAAATTATGGTGGAAAATAAGTATTTGGTCAATAACAAAAGTTCAACTCAACACTTTGTAACATAACCTTTGTTGGCAATGACAGAGGTCAAATGTTTCCTGTAAGTCTTCCCCAGGTTTGCACACACTGTAGCTGGTGTTTTGGCCCATTCCTCCTTGCAGATCTCCTCTAGAGCAGTGATGTTTCGGGGCTGTCGCTGGGCAACACGGACTTTCAACTCCCTCCACAAATTTTCTATGGGGTTGAGGTCTGGAGACTGGCTAGGCCACTCCAGGACCTTGAAATGCTTATTACGGAGCCACTCTTTCATTGGCCGGGCAGTGTATTTGGGATCATTGTCATGCTGGAAGATCCAGCCACGTTTAATCTTCCAAGCTCTCACTGATGGAAGGAGGTTTTGGCTTAAAATCTCACGATACATGGCCCCGTTCATTCTTCCCTCAACACGGATTAGTTTTCCTAACCCCGTTGCAGAAAAACAGCCCCAAAGCATGATGTTTCCTCCCCCTTGCTTCGGAATAGTTATGGTGTTCTTGGGATGCAACTCTGCATTCTTCTTCCTCCAAACACGACGAGTTGAGTTTTTACCAAAAAGTTCTATTTTGACCACATGATATTTTTCCAGTCCTCTTCTGGATCATCCATATGCTCTCTGGCAAACTTCAGACGGGC